CCACCATTCTTAAGGCCTCTTTGTCCCTCCGAGACCTCGTTAGCTCGGCTTGCGCAGCATGGGAATCCGCTTCGGTAGCTTGCGCTCGCTTCAAGCCCCTCTCCGCCTGGATTGCCAAAGTGTAGATAAAGGAGTTCACCTACCAGAACGAGAAAAAATCAGCTTGGTAAAAAAAAAAAACAACCACTACTCCGACTTACCACCATGGCGTGAGATGCAGCACGAACGCCTATGAGATTCGTAGGAAGATCGGCCCACGCCGCGACCTCCTCAGGGCAAGTAGCCTTCTTACTTTTTCGGAGAGCATAGCTCGGCGTCAACACGCTCCCAACCTCATCGTGACTTCCCAAGCCTGAAGGCACAGTCTGGGTATAGGAAGTGTCGGCATAGGGAGCCCCTGTCACTTCCTGAATTGGAGGGGCCACCTCGGGCTCCCAAGGAGGCTCCATTCTCGGTGCCTCGGGCTCCGCAACCCGGGAAGGATCGGCGCGGACCCGCTTAGTAACTCGCTTCCTCCTTTTCATGCCATTGAACATACTCGCACCTCGAGTCTTCTCTGCCTCCATAACACCTGCAAAAAGGAGCTCGGCGTCAAAAGGCGAGAATAAAAACAAAAGCAAAAGTATCTTTATCTGAGCAAGAAACCTATCCGAACTCAGACCGGCCTGAATAAGCTTGTCCTCCGTCAGGTAGACTTCGCATTTGAGCCCAAGCCGGGCCCAGTCCTAGAGGCCCTTCACCGTATCTTCGTCTAAAGCGACACTGGGGTCAGGGACGACCAACCCCCACTTAGTAGGAAACGGCCACCCCGTAGCACTTCGAACCACGAAGTAGTCCCGCTTCCATGCCGGGACCTTATTGGGGAGATCGTGTAAGAGCTTGAAGCTCGAACGAGGCGACAAGTAGTACGCCCTCCTACGCCCGGGCAGGGGACCCACTTGTTTCTTAAGCATGAGAATAGAAGAAAAAACTTCTAGGTCAAAGGGAAGGCAGTGTTCGTAGCACAGGGAGATGGTCCCGACAAGGTTACGGATGGAGTTCGGGTGAAGCTGACCTACAATGACGCCGAAGTGGTTCATGACCTCGACGATAAGGGGATGGAAGGAAAGGCGCAGCCCGACAACAAGCTGCTCCCAGAATATCACGATCTCATTCGGACCGTGCTCCCAAGGAAAATCGCCTGAGGGTAAAATATAAGTATATTCCCCGGGCAGGTTGTACTGAGCGATAAGGGACGAAAGCCTCTCGGGCGTCATAGTGGAAGGCCCGAACTTATCTGGCACCCGACCTCGACGGGAGGTGGATGCCAAGCTACCCGAAGTGACTCGACCTACGGGCTCGAACTCGAGCTCTACCTTGGACCCCGCCTCGGACTCACTAAAGCTGTCAGGGACAGCAGCTCGGTTCGTAGAACCAGCATCCCCCAGAGGACTATCTGAACTACTCGAGCTAGACATCGAAACAAAGAGAAGGCTGAGGACTCACCAGGAAAAGCTACCGGACTACGAAAAAGTGACGCGAGCTGACAGCCTTGGACGCGAGCTCAAGAAACAAATGTTGAAGGATGGCAAAGGAAAATGACCAGGGGCCCCCCACTATTTATAGCCACTGTACTTGCGCATCAACAGCCAAGATCGAAACCATCCAATGGCTCCCCGCGAAACCGGCTACGCACCCCCCGAGGAAAAGTTAGTTTGGCGCGTATTTTTGATGTTCAAAAATTTGAAATCATTTACGCGCGTGAGCTACACGTAGCCCGGGATTGACCCCTGGCCGAACCAAGCCGACCCTGGTTGAGCCAAGAACACAAGCAGGTCAAACCGGAGAAGTTCCAACCCAAGGCCAAAGTGTCCCGAGGCAAATCCACCAGTCATCCTGTGAACTCCCCACACCGGGTCAGGACCCCGTGCATGGGAAGTGGGGGGCAATTGCTGGAGGGAGATTTGACCCGACCCCTCGGCCATGTGATACGTGGAGGCAACTGAGAGTGACCTGGCAGAAGCGCCAGCTCGGCACGGCAGTGGGCCCACAACCCGAGCTCCCCCAAAGGAGGAACCTACAACCCGAGCTCCGAGCTAAGGAGTCCCGAACTCCCCAAGGAGGAACCCGAGCTCTCCCTTCGAGGTCTTGAGCCTTACAAGGAGCACAAAATGCAAAAAACCCGGACTACCCACCTAGGGGCAGTTCGGGCCACACTTCTATCCGAATTCAAGACCACCTCGCACACCACTTCGGCTCCAAGTCGCCTGACTGAACAACCATACCTAACGCCCAGGAGGCTCGTACACGGAGACGACGCACCTGACTGATTAGGGGTCCGACACATGACAGCCGCCCACCAACGGCCACCTACCACCGCCATCTCAGACGTGGCAAAGACGGCCCTGACAAGGAACAGTGGAGGTTATGACACCCGAACTGGCAACTGGCAACTGGCAGAAGTTATGACACCCGATCTGGTAGAGGAAATGACACCCGATTTGGCAGAGGAAATGACACCCGATCTGACGGAGGTAATGATACCCGAACTGGCAGAGGTATGGAAGTAAGTGTACAGGGTGATTATAAAAGACCCCATCTCCCAAGGAAGGAGGTATGTGATTCTTGCGCTTTCTGGTCTTAAAGTTCCTCATTTCCCTTGCCTTCTCAAGAGCACTAACTTGAGCTTCGGAGTGTTCCAACCGGGTTCCTCCCCGGAAGTCTCCATTTTCTTCCTTGTTTCAGGCACCTCCAATCTCGTCAGAGGAGAGGTAACCGGCAGCTAGGACCGACCAGATTGCGCATCATCAGGAACTTTCTGTATCAAAAAATAGGGATGCAAACAGATCGGATCAGATTCGAATAAGGGTATATTTGAATCCGATCCAACACTATTAATGTTGGATTCGATCCGATTGGATCTGATAGGATTCGATTTGAATTCGAATTCTATCAGTAAGTTGGATCTGATCCGATCCAACTTGTTTTCTTTACAAATTAATAAATTATTGAAAGAAAATTAAAATATACTAATTTAAATAAAATAAAAACAAAAAATACAAGTACTTCTTAATTATTTTCATTATATACATATATTGGATTGGATAGGGGGTGATCCCAATCCGATTCGATTTCTGATTGGATCCTATTATCCAATCTGATCTGAAGATCCAAACAAAGTGATCTGAATTCAACCAAATAGGATTAGACCTTGGATCGGATCTGATCCAATCCATTTGCACCCCTACCGAAAAAATGCCTTTGCAAAGAGGAGACCTAATAGAATACACACTTCCCTCATGAGTCCCTGAGCAGATGCAATATTCCCACCTCCAAGAACCCTCTTCCAGCTTCCCTTTCCTCCTTAGATCCCCTTTCTCTACTGCCTTTGACCACTCACAATGGGACATGTGGCAACTTTCCAACCATGAACGCTATAACTAGTGTCTTCATGCGTGTGCATCAGAAAAGGGTGAGTGCCCTTGTACAGAAGCTCACAAGGACACGTGGCAACTTTCCAACTAGTCTAGATGGTACAAATCAGACCAATCCCAACCCTTCAGGAGTAATCTTATAGAAGAACCAAAAGGAATTTTCTGTAAGGAAAAGGCCTTCAGGAAAGCTATAAATAGGAGGATCTACCAAAGAGGAGACCTAACAGAAATACAGAATACACATACTCCATGAATCTCTAAGAAGTTGAAATTGTTCCTGCCTCTCTAAGAGGAACTCTATGCACACTTCCCTTTCCTCAGATCCCCTTTGTCTGCTACCTCCGACCATTCACATGGGAGCCATTCCGCTGTACTTTTGGCAGAAACCCTCCTAAGTGCCAATCCCCACATCCCTACACGGAGAACATACTTTTATATCAATGGTTCTGATCTGCCACGTAACCATACATTTAGCCATGTCAGATTACCAGTTAATTACTAAATTCACACCCTCATTTCTATGACATCAATTGATATTTTTGGTAAATACGATATATACTGATCGGTTATGAATTGAAAATTGTTATATGACCACCTAAACCAAGTGGAAAATGTTTAAGGGCACAGACTCATCATTGTTTATTCCAAAAGTAACCCTAGCACTTTATTTCAACTAATATCGTCATTGTTTATTCCAAATATGCTATTCAAAGAGGCTGAAGCAAACAACCTTTCAAATGATTTGGGCTCTTGGGATTTTTTCGCCAAACATGACTTATAGGCTGTCAATGTGAGACCCACCTTGGAAAGCCAGAAGCTACTGCATTTCAACTCTCCCAAACAGGCATTGAATATCAAGAGAGCTGTGACTCCTGGTGTAGGGGGCTGCTGATACCGATCCTCCTGCCAACAGCTACATCGTCCTTAAGATCTCGTTGGTGACCCTGTCGTCCTTGATATCCTTTTACTTGTCGTTGGCTAGACTTTTAAATGAAGTGTAATCATCCTATATTGGTTCGAGGTAGGGTGATCATTTCCAACTTGGCTAACCCATAAAATTATGGGCTTGGGCTTAGGTTCTGTGATAGACCCAACCATACACATACATACAATTTCTATAATCAAACTTTGACCAATAAAAAACCCCGTGAATTTTGATGAATACCAGCGGATTGGTTACCACTTCTAACAATACAAATTCACAGTAACGTGATTCGTTGGGTCACTAATAGACAATTACTCTTACCCTACACTTCTATGGGTAACTCAGGCGGGTTGGGTTGGGTGAAGGTCAACCCAGGCCCAACTCTAAAGGTGACTCAGGCTTGGGCCTGACCCAACCTAAGGTCAAGCCTAAGCTTAACTTGAGCTTAATCCAATACAACTCGAATTGGGCTCGGATATATATATAAGATACTTTTAATCAGGTTGGCCCACCCAAGTTGCACCCCGAATCATATCAAAGAACGTTCCCAACTGCTATGGCCAAAGTTTACCCAGGTAACCATGCGTAAGATCCTTGATATTCCGTCGTTACCTTAAAACAAATAACATTTTCAGGAAGATGTCCGCAGTGCAACACTAGACTTGTAACCACAAGGACTAATACTATAATAGTCTTGAGAAGTGTTATTATAACAGTTAACAAAAACATTCTCTCTGCAAATAGTTAATCAAACTATTCATTTTACCTTTCTGACCACCAACCTACTATCCATGAAACCAATAGGCGTCCCTACAGAATTACCCAGAGTAGCAGTGTATGATCGACCACGTATGGTTCTTTGTAAATTTGATTTTAAAGAACGCCTACTGATAAATAGAACAGTTCTAGCAATACGGATTCACAGAAACATGTCACCAGCAGGTGTGGTAAAATCTTCATTAACTATAATGCCGGTGTCTGTATCACCCATGAACCCATATGCTTGAAAACATGCCTCCTAACCTGACAATTTTGCAAAGAACCCAGATCTCACCTAGCAAATTGGAAAGCTTGTACGAGATTAAATGGAATGGCATTTGTAAGTTCTACGTTTTCTTTTCACCTGAAAATCATAGAGTAAAGCTCTTATGAGGAATCCGTTGACTTACTGGTGAGCTTTCAACCTCTAGACACAACTTATTTGCTTCTCGTTTCCTTCATAGTACTTTAGCTCAAAGGGATCATTAAGTCTTAATGTAAAAGATTCTCATCTTACTTTGATCTTAGCAATTTCCTGGCTTTTGACGCTTCTTAACATCAAATTGAACATCTACAAGGCCTGTTATCCCAGCAGTAATCTTCTGGCCTGCTTTCACAGGGCCAACACCTTCAGGAGTCCCTGCATAGATAGAAATAGTTGCACAACTAAGCAATTAAAATTAATAATAGACACCAGGATTGTGGTTTATCCTCATAAAAAGGGTCAGAAAAATCAGCACGTGCATCTCACATACACCTTCTGCTATTCTGCACCATTGGTTAGAAAATTAGAAGAGAAAAATTTGTAGCATCTTAAAGGGCGACCATCATCATCATCCATGCCTTATCCCAACTATATGGGGTCGGCTACATGAATCCTGTTTCGCCAATCCATTCTCTTTAAAGTCATATCCCCTTCAATGTGTAACAAACCACTTCTAACTTCAGCAGTTGGTGGCCTTCTATGCACATGCCCAAATCATCTTAGTCTACTCTCTCTCATTTTATCACATATTGAAGCTACTCCTAAGTTCCTACAGATAACCTCATTCCTAATTCTATCTTTTCTAGTTTTTCTACTCATCCATCTTAGCAGTCACATTTCTGCCACCAAGAGAATAAGGAAAAATGTAATTGGTTTTTAAGACCATGGGGAATAGCAAGCATTTATATCATATACTTATTTCTCAATATGTATTGACTTTCAATCAGGATGAAATCATGAGCATTGGTGTTTACCATGGTCCTAGGCACCAACTTAGCATGACCCCTTAGTGTTCATGTTATGGTGGGATACTTCTTCAATATGTTATATACCATAAGAATCACAATTTCCTAAGCAATTGGGTAACGCCCTACAAAAAGTTATATTTGCTTTTTTAGGTCAGAAAAACTGATAAAGCAAAGAGTCATGATTGATACCATAATTTAAGAAAACACCTTAATGTTAAAGTGTATATTTTATTTTATTTTTTGTGGGATAGGACCGATAGGTAAAAGGACTATTACTGTTATTATTGTTGAGAGGGATAGACTGGATACAGACCCAATGATGTTGTTATTATTATTATTATTATTATTATTATTATTATTATTATTATTATTATTATTGTTATTGTTGTTGTTGTTTATGATGATGATTAGGAGGAGGATGCACAAAGTGACCACTCATTCTCATGCTTGTCAGAACAACATTTTATTAGTGTATCATGCAGCAGCCCTGCAGAGGGAGTATCGATGTTATAGGATATATTGACTGAAGCTCACATAGTACCTGTCAGTATGACATCTCCTTCTAGAAGTGTCATGATAGAGCTTATGTGGCTAATGAGAAATGGGATCTTAAACATCATATCCTTGGTGCATCCCTTCTGCCTGATTTCTCCATCCACCTGAAGCGAAATGAATCACTGAGTTCTCTAACATCTCTCTGATAACCAAAAGAAAATAAGACATTCACAAGATGCAAATAAAAGAAAATGGAGCAAAAATGGACTTTTAGAACCTTTAGCCATAACTCCAAGTTGTCAGGGTTTGGCACCATTGACTTGGGCAGCTGCAAAGAATTCATAAAGTATGAGCCTGTCAAAATGTTATATTACACCATCTATTTGATTGTATGAAACTATGTCTAGAATCCTTAGACATTTAATATAGAGATTGTATGATTTGAGAGAATAAAGAAATGTGAGACTAGAATTCTAAAGCTCATTAATTCCTTCACATAAATAGGATGACAAACAAAAAGCTTGGTCCTTATTGTCTCATTCTGATCTCAATCTGATATTTGGTTAAAAGACTTAAGGACAAGATCTGAGTTTGGCTTCGTACAACTGAACTGATTGGAGTGAAGGTGTCCTGCCCTTTAGCCACCGTCCAGGGCAGACCTGCAGACTGATACATAACATAATAATACAAAAAAAGAACATTAATAAAGTAAACAAAACAAAATAAAATAAAATAAAAAGATAGTGATCTCTATAGTAGAATAACACAATTAATAAAAAGGCCACTAAAGGCCATTACCCAATGTTGGTCCCAGCCATCTGGGGATCTTGAGTGGGGTGGACTGGATACGGTCCTAACCTTTGGCATTTCTTTGCACAAAGTGGCCACTCAGACTCAAACCTGCATTCTCATGCTTGACAGCCCAAGGTTTTACCATTACACCAAGTAATGGCCCCTACTTAATTAATCAAAAATCAAAATAAGAGATAAATATAAAGCAAAAGTTTATCCTGGTCAACAATTTAAAGACAACAACATTTAATCATATAGTTCTTGTTTAACTCTTTATCAACTTATAGTGTTATATGTTGCATCTCAAGCAAAGAACATCTGCTACCCTGCATATTTATATTTTCCATAAATGCATCTATGCGTGTAATTAAGGTTCAATATTAGTTTCGAGGGAAATTTCAATCCTTCAAAACTAAAAATTCTATGAGGAATTTCAGAGGGAATTTGCAACAGTATAAAATTTTCAGGTTTGAAGGATGTATTAAGGGAAATGGATTTTTTTTTCTTGTGGAATTAAAAGATTTAAAGTTTTTAAAATATACATGATTAATATTTAATAAACAACTATTACAAAATAATCATACAGAATGAGTATCACAAGTCTGAGAAATAAAAGTTCCCATTCATGGTGATATAAAATACAACTTGACATCAAATAATATCCATAAAAATGTAAATATCCCTCCTTTGGCCAAGATTCAGCATGATAGAATATAGATTTTTTTAACTTTATGAGAACACACAACCAAACTTGATTGAGAGAACTACTGAGGATAACAGAAGTAGGACTATCTAACCTTTTACTAATGGGAAACATATCCAAAGATATACCTTGGCAGAAGATTGGATTTCCCTTGCAGTCATATCCAAACCAAGCGCATAACCTAGAGGATTTAAAAATGGGGAAGGGGGATCAATTTCATACATAATATGCTCTGGAAAAAAATGGAAACAAAAATTTTAACAGCAATTTCCAAACAATGTGGATGACCATACATAAGAAAAAAAAAGAATATGTGGCTGAATGGAAAAGAATGATAGTGAGCTTATATATTCATAAAATGCATGCTTGTCCATATGGTGAACATGGTATGTGATTCAAATGAGTCCGGACTAGCTTCACATGATAGCTGTGTTAGAGGCTATGCAACCAATAATAATGCCCACATCAGCCATAAAGTGTATATGTCTCATAACCACTCATTCTATCACTTCACATGCATGGCTTATGTGGGGCATTATTATTGATTACACAGCTGTCAAGTGTAGCTATTCTGGGCTCAATTCAAAACTGTTAAATTGAGAATGATTTTAGGATTGAGATGCACTGATGAAGTAACATATATTATGATAGTTGCCAATAAAGCCAACTTAGTAATGGAAGTTATACAGAATCAAGTATATTCTCCACTTGTATCATGTTAATGCAGTGTATAAATTACACTGCTTTTGAGTCCCCAAATAGGTAAATGGCCATTGCACAATATTGGTCCCAGTTATATGGGATCTTGGGAGGACTGGACTGGATGCAGACTTAACCTTTGGCCATTACCGAAGTGGTTGAACTGAATGACTTCAGTTTCAGTCATTAAGGAGCTCACAACCTCCTTAACAGCTTATTCACTAAAAGACAAAGTGATAAGCCATTCAGTTCAACTACCTCAGCTGTTATCAAACAGCCCCAAAGATGGTTTGGTCATATATGGATGAGACCATCTACATCACTAATAAGAAGAAGTGATCTGTTATAAGTTGAAGACTTCAGAAGATATATAGGTAGAATAAAAAAATGACATGGGTTGAAGAGGTAAGAAATGATTCAAGGTTCCATAACTTGACAAAAAACATAGCACTGAACAAAGAGGAATGATGCAACAGGATTCATGTAATCCGTATAGTTGGGACAAGGCTTAGTTGTGTAGAGTTGTACTGTTGATAGATAAGATAAACTAATTTGCTTCCACTAAAGGGCTCTTCACCAATATGTATGAATTTATTTTTTTAAGGCAGAAAACAATTGTCCCATCAGTAAAATTGTGGCAATTGTTTTTGTTTAAAAAAACAAAATCGTAGATATAGGCGATGATCCCCTAAAACTGACAAATAGGTAGAGAAAAAAAATTTCAAGGTTTATAAAATGCCTTCCCAAGTGATGTTCCCCAGAACGCACACCAGTGGATAATTAGAAGTACACTTAGATTTAGATAACCCTTTTCTGGAAAGAAGTCATGAGTTCTGATATACATACCTCCAACATAATCCATGGCAGTTGCCTCAGAAACATCACGAGCTTTCTGGCCGATGACGACCGCTAGCTCCACTTCATGATCCAGGGACACCAATGGATGGGGAATTTCGATAGTACCCCCATTTTGTAGATAAGAAGAGGTGGGCTTCAAGAATAATACTGGCTCCTGGAGTAGAAAATTTTTCCATGAGCCATCTCGTGATTGGGTGATAACGATACAAGACCGACGAGCTCACTTTTTCATTTTAGGAAAAAAAAGCGGCGTGTTCATCATAGTTCATTCAACCTAGATCAAGCTGAAGTCTTCGAAGAGGTAAACGATTATGCTGAAATTAAGGTGGGTTTCAACCTAAAAGAGGCTCTTAACAACTTAATTTCCTCAAAACATATCCAAACATAAACAGATTTATCATTTTCCAGAGAAAACATATTTCAAGTTTCCAACCTAACATTGCGTCGGTAAGCCGATATTTGGAGGAGGACAGAAGAGCAAGCATAGATTTGTGTGAAATAAAGACTGAGAGAGAAAGACACCTTTGGGACGGCGTTGCCGAGTTCTTTGGCGTGAGCAACGTAGTTTCTACCGACGGCGACGATCTTAGTGCCCATGCTCAGAAGCTTCTGATAAGCGGAAGAGGGAGTTGCCATGGATACAGTTCCGAAGCGTCCACAGGGCGAAGGAGGACAGCTGATCATTGACGACGGAGGAGCCCATTTTTTTTATTTAAATTATTTACATTTTATTATAAGAGAACACCGGATCAAGCCCGATGAACCGGAGCCCGGAGCATGACGTAAAACTCGACCGGACCAGGCTGGCTCAATCATCACCAACTGAGCAGAGATCCCATCATCCCAATTCCCAGGTCCCCGCTAGGCCGCTACAACAAAGTAGAGATGCTACCAACTGAGCCACGCCGCTACTCTGTCACGGTTTGATAGAGGCATATGCTCGGTGGGATTACGTTAAGGGACATCACCGGCCACTGACACTCAAGGGAGGCTTGGCATGCAGGTTGGCCTAAGCATGACCCTTCACCATGCCAGCCCCTTGCTTAAGCCGAATGAACTATCCCGTTGCCCATAGCACACGGGTGTGTTCTGGCCCAATGGTTGCCTATCATCATCGGCACATCAGGTGCCTACATCATTGGCATATAGGAGTCCCTCTCATCGGCACCTAACTGCCTCTCATCATAGTCGTCCCCCTTTAGCACGTAAGAGACGCCTCCCATGGACCGGCCAGAGCCAGCAAAGAGCCCCGACCATGCGAATTGAGGTCATGATCCAGTGCTACTGAACTTGGTGGAGCCATCTTATCGGGAAACTCCTAGCCCTAAGCATACAAAAGGCTTGTCTTGGCCTGCCTTGGCTTGGACGCCGCATTGGTTTCTTCCGCTGTAGATCTACCCCCGTGACAATTGGCATCAGAGCAAAAGCACACAGAGCCAGTTGAAGCAGTAATCTCGACAAGCAGCACATTGTGGGGTGCGGTCCCTTGGCACTTCCACTTGGGTTCAAGCAAGCAACTCTCATCAAGCCTGGCAAGAGGCCATTCATTCATGTCCCCATTCCAATGACCCCCAAAAGCAATGCCCTTGTGGGGGCAAACACATTGGGTGTTGTGCTCATGCGGGGTCAGACACATAGGTCATTTCATGAAAGGCATATTGTGGTGGTTTGAGCGGGGGAGTGCCATGCTTCCTCACGGACATCAGTTGCTATTAATTTTAGTGAGTTATGGGCGGTGTGCCTACATCTTGGTTTCATGAAGGATGAGCCATTGTTCCGTAACTTGTCAGAGGCACTACTAAGGCGGGGACAGCGGTCCAAAATTGGTTGGTGTCGACAGTTGGTCAAGGAATATCACTAAAGTGGCAGTTTAGCACAAATGGGTCCTCAGTTGAAGCCACAATATTGGAATGTTAGGAATGTGGGTACACTGGCCGTTGGAGCATGGTGGCCCTACACCAGCAATGCATCAAAGGACATGCTCAGCATTCAACAAGGCGGAACACTTGCAACAACAATCACACATCATAGGCACTTCGACAACATCATGGGGAAAAGTTGCCACACTCGCGCATATTGCAGTCAGATCTCTTTGAGGCAATAGCACATTGGAGCCCCCTCGAAGCGAAGAGGTAGCCCAAGTCAGTGAGGTGAAGTGTAGTTTCGAGGGACAAAAGAGTATAAGCCATGGACTAGGTTTGAGTAACCCGTACACGGCAAGGTGAAGTCTACAGGCCAGCATGGTGAAAGGGTACCCAGGACACATCACCAACAGCAAGAGTAGACTTATCACATCGTGTTCGGTAGCACCACCGAAAAGCTACCAAGAAGACGGTTGAGCCTTAAGGTAAAGAGATACATGGGGCGGATCTCCGCGAAGCACACACATCCAATTTCTTCGAGGGCCCTTCTCACACACTGTTCAACGGCATAGCCATTGCGCGGTTTGAGTAACCTCAACATTGGGGGTGAAGTCTAGGCAGGCCAGCATGATGAAATGGTTACATCCCCATAAATGGACACCAACATAGACGAGACCTGGGTTGGCCAGGCGAGCCCAGAAACTGACACACAAGTGGATGGCATAAAACACAAGCTTCACAAAGGAGCCATTGTCGAGGACAACAATGGATTGAGTGGGGGAGCCTGTCACGGTCTGACATAGGCTTAGCCTTGCCTACGCTTGGTGGGCTTACGTTAAGGGACATCACTGTCATTTTTGCTAGAAAGATTATTGAAAAATCTCATGTCATCTTTAGGCAGACCACCAAAAGCTTAACGTACTCTTTGAGGGGTGGTCAACCTCCTTGGGTGCCTGACCTTGGCACTCCTAGACCAATATCCCTTGCGGGGTGGCCCTAGTTAATGGCTAGCATGGCTACCAGGGTTCCTCATGAGCACACACATGCTCATGGAGACAATGCATGGACCGGCACTACGCCACCAACACTCAAGGGAGGCTTGGCATGCGAACATGGCCTAAGCATGACTCTTCACCACGCCAGCCCCTTGCCTAAGCCAAATGAGCTATCCCGTTGCCCATAGCGCACGGGTGTGTTCTGGCCTAGCGGTTGCCTATCATCATCGGCACATCAGGTGCCTACATCATCGACATATAGGAGTTCCTCTCATCGGCGCTTAGTCGCCTCTCATCATGGCTGTCCCCCTTAGTACGTAAGAGGCGCCTCCCATGGATCGGCCAGAGCCAACAGAAAACTCCGACCATACGAATTGAGGTCATGATCCAGTGCTACTGAACTTGGTGGAACCATCTTATCAGGCAACTCCTAGCCCTAAGCATATAAAAGGCTTGTAGCCTGCCTTGGCCTGGACACTGCACGGGTTTCTTCCGCTATAGATCTACCCCCGTGACAATCCGATTGATTAACGAGTTTGGATCTGACCACAACAAATTGATGGCCACGCTCATCCAGTCGCACGTTGAGAATATCGTTGATTACAATACAACCGATGTTTTATGTGTTGTGGTGAGAAGATCCTAACTTTTGGTTAAATGAGGCCACGTGAAGCAATAGTGAGAGTAGATCTCCAAATTCTACTTATGAAATGAAAGTAGGATTAGTATGCAAGTTGGAAAGTCTGGGCCGGATTTAAGCTCAACCCGAGCCCAATCTTAAGAATTGTGCTTAAAGCCTGAGTCTAAGCTAAGCCTCATTCAGTCATTTGTCCAAGAGCTTAGCCTTCACCAAATTTGATGCAAGTCCAATCCGTGCAAAATTGTGGGCTGGGTCGATCTAGGCTCGGGCCCACCCAAGTTTCACCCCTAATTCCTCTTTAATTTATTATGACTTTTATTTGACATTTCATAATTTCTATCCTGTTTTTAACTTGGACAGCTGGCCAAGTGGGTTCGACTGTCTGAGGTTTCAACTTTACCACTGCAGCGTAGAGGTAAATCACCAACAATAATAACTCCAAAAACCCTTTGATGAAATGTGATTATGGATAAGCACATTGCTAGTGACTAAATCTAGCCAACCCAAGTTCAATCAAGATTTCCTATCACAGGGACAAATGTTAAAACTACAGCTTTTTCCTCATTGTAAGGACTCAAGCAGTTCCTGTCTCTTTTCAGTGGCAAGAGGCAGTTAAGTGGTATCAGAGGTTTGCTGATACTAATCGCCAGAGGACTGAGATGAGCAATATTCATTACTGCAAGATCCTTGAGTTCCAGATTGACGGCATGACCTGAAGGATGCACAAAGAATTATCATAAAAAAGTGTAAAATGGTATCACATTAAGGCAGTGTTTGGTTTGAAAGAAAATGTAAGCAAAGGAAGGGAAAGGTAGGGAAACCCATATAAACCTTGTATAGGTTTCCCTACTTTTCTCTTCCTTCCCGTATATTTTCTTTTAAGCCAAACACAGCCTAAACAAAAAACAATGAGAAAGTAAGATGCAATTTCAAGGGATTAGCACACAGAGATGCCGAATCTAATCTGATATATGGCTTGAGTGGTTCACAGAACCATTGAATAAATGGTGTACCTTGTGTCTATGTCAAAAGACAACACCCATACATTTCTCAACAGGTCATAGATTTTCCAGTATCTATATTTTAAACATTCTTTTAGTCAAATAATATAGAACCATTAACCAGTATGCAGTCTAGAGGGCAGTCCTCTGTGTACCATTTTGTCTTTTTCTTTTTATTTTTTGAGTATAATAACCTATTTCCTTTTCAATCCCCATCAATTCTAAGAACAATTTTCAAATTGAAATGAATAAAAGTCCTTACCGCTGGCGGAAGTTGGAATTCTGGCTCCTAAGCAAGAAAGGGCTTGAACAACAGGCTGTGAAGTAAGTTGCATCATCCAATGATGTTGCATTTGACTGCATACATATAAACAAAAGCATGTAATAAGAAAATTTTGGTTCCAAGTCTTCTGAGATTAGTCAATTGACTACTGAAAACATGATTTATGTTCAGATGTTTCAGAAGAAACTATACAGATAAACATGTGGTAAATCTTGTAAGCGACGAAAGTAAATATTGAAGTTAAAGGGATGAAAACAATAGAACAAATATATCTTTTTCGTAATAACTGTTTATTGACCATAGTAGAATGACCATCAACCAAAATAGCCAGAATATATAAAGCACACTTACAGTATGGTTCTGGAAATGTTCCATTTTCAAGAGTTCAGTTTTTCTAGCATTGCATCTTTTTCTTTCTTTCACAAGAGCAATTGCACATTTACATATGAAAATGAGAAGTACCACTCCAAGTGAAAACATTACAACAAATCCAACCACGATTATTTCTCCCATGGCTGCATGTAGCAAAGTAAAAGTTAGTTCATACCCATAATAATGTACCATCAATAGATTATATCCTAAATAATACCATCATAGAGTGAAAGAGAATTATATTAAAACCCACACAAGCATGGAAGAAGAAACTATATCTGTTAGGTTACCAAATTGCTTACTTAGAAAGGTCAATGTGTCAAACAAGGTTCACAGTATCAGTTTCCAGAAAGACATCCATCCAAATAGAGTGACATTCAGAAGTCAGGAGAAAAAAAAAAAGCATGTGCTACAAAATCGAGGTGGCACATCAAGCTAATAGGCCCCCATTATGGGCTAGGGATCTCTGTGGCTGTGTGCATGTGCTGTTAGAAAGAGAGAAAGAGAGAGCACTAAATAAAAAGAAAGCCAAGTTACAAATCAATCGCATAAGAAGACCACTTAGGGAAAAAAAATTAAGTACTACAACTAAATTACATTTGCAGGTAATTGGATTTCAACAGACATCAGAATTTTTGAACCTGAAAGGGCAAACTTGGCATTTAGACAGAAGCTAGAGGAACAGCTTTCACAAAAAAAAAAAGATCTACAATAAACCTTACTATGAGCTACCATTGAACTCATTGGCCGCCTCCTTATTAGATTTACAGTAGCCTCAGAAAAAAGTGGCAGTGACATTCCTTCAGCACAATCCGGACAACATCCATAGTTTCCCATATCATTGACAGTGACAGTTAGAACAGCACCTGGTTCTCCACCCTGTACCATAAACTTTTTCTTTCAGTCTTATTGATAACTTCATCACTGAACTAGATAAGAATCCCTTTGCTCTTTCCATAAGCAAAAATAGATCTCATATTCCTAAACTGAGGTATAATTTGACATTATATGGAGAAAAATATGACCGATTATGTAAAAAGGATTAAATGTGCATCTTACTCCTTATTTAATCTGAGCCCAAAGCTTGGCTAAATAACACAGTTTTGCTTGCAATCTTCTAACCAAACATGATGCCAGATCATTTTATGGAAGCTTGCTCATCCGCAAGCAAAAAATTAGGCTCCATTTTTTATGGGAAGTTTTTGTTTTAGAAAATATTTTACTAGAATAATATTTTATAGAAATATATTTTCTTGTTGTTGGGGAAAAAATTAGAAAAAATAGGAATTTTGGATTGACAAGAAAGAAAATGAACATAACAGAGAATCTTAGTAAAATATTCCGCTCACTTTTATGTGGCGAATACCTATCCCAATCTCACCATTCAAAATATCCCATTGATAGAGAGAGGGGGGAAAGTGGAGGTTTTGAGGTTGATCCCCAAGTCCTACCCACTTCTGCATTTTGCAAAAAAAAAATACATTTTTAAACATTTAGGAAGTTGTTTTCCATGTTTTTCTTAACTCCAAGGAAAATGTTTTCTTTATGGTTCAACAATGACTAAACCCAAAATCATGGAAAATCATGCATCACCAATGTTGCATGGACTCTCCCAAGTGGATGAAGTGTCTATGTTAGACACGTATCAGATTCCAACACTTGATGGATTTTTTATCAACACTTCAACATAACATTTTCTTTTATCTATTACTTATTTAACATAAATGAAATAGCTAATATGCTTAAGTAACAAAGATAAAGTTCAAGACCTTTTATTATCAGTATATAATGTTAGAATTTGAACAAATATGGACTGTTTTAATAGTTTATATTTTTCTATGCACATGACTGCAAATTCTTGTTTTTTCTTCTTGCTGAGTCAAACTCCAGGAGATGCATCAGGTTCTGGTTCCCATGTTCGAGACCACAGAACACTGTTCACCCACTCCTGTGGAAAAACAACCACCTTTACCTTAATCGATAGCCTAATCACCTATTAGAAGTTCAGAACAACTCTGGGATTCATATACCTTCATTTATGCTTCTAGCCTTGCCACTCATTCACCTCAACTATGTTCATCCTATGGGAATTTTTCTTGATTACCAACCACTTAGCTACATAGAAGATATATCTCATATCATCAAATTTAGCTTGAATCTGAAAGTCAGACACAGAACATCTAAACATCTAAAGGATAGTGATATGCATGTAAAGTTTTCCCATTCAATTCAATTAGCATGGAATTATCTAGGTGCCAGTGAGGGTGGAGTGCATTTGCTTTTTTACATGGGTAATTATGATAGCCTATATTTCTGTTGAAAGAATTTTTCTTAGTAATACTTTTGTTTCTCATTTACCAAGTTCACTGGTACCCAATTATGTTACCTACATTTTCATTCCTGACAGTATGACTGACCTTGTTATTCTGCCAAATCAAGGAAGAAGGATATTCATGAAAATCTCTAAGTCAATCGTCAAAGTTCACTCCATACTGTAAGAGAGTGTAATTCTATGTTTCATATTGGAAGGAAGAACAGTAAACTAGTCTATTTTCTTCTTTGTATCAACTTCACTTAAACAATAGTAAGGAAATAAAAAGAAACTAAAATTAAACAAAGACATTATAAAGTAAATGAAGACAAATTAAATGTTATTCCATGTTGAATGAGAACAGTTTGCTCACTTGGTATTGCAATTGTTGTATGACATTGTTGCAATCCATAATTGTTCCCCTGAATCTAATCCCTTTCCCCTTGATGAGAAAATGTTTAGAAATAGTAACAAAGTTCTGGAGGGGTTGCCATTGATGGCTATCCTTTATCTTCAATTCAGTTGTATTAATAAGATGAACTGGTAGACTTGTGACAAGAATACCAACATTGACTTCCAAGGAAAGTGTGACCAAAAAATAAGACTCATTACCTGCAAAACAATGACAAAAAATTTTGGCAAAACCTCAAGATCAGTAGAGTGAAGGAACCTTCATATTCACTCTATAAATGAAACATTCTTGGAAAAAGGTAAGGTGATCTAGTCATAAATAGAAACATGGAGCACAATCTGATTGTGCTATTGTGGCAATTGAAGAATTGAAAAAGATTTTCTAGGTGGTGGCCAAAGAAACTTGAAAAAAAAAAGAAAGGTAGGCGCATGGTTGCAAACTCCTTTGGAAGAGGATAAAGAGCACCTTTCCCAAAGATGCTTCACCTGTGTTCAGAAAACAATGGCCTAGGTGGGACTTTTGAGAGGCTGCTAGATTCAGAGTGAAGGCAGACATCCTATCCTAAAGTATTTGCAGACAACAAAGATATAACCATCTAGAAGGGCAAAGTCCTGACAGCAAGACCCTTTTTTGTTGAATCAATTCTGTTTGCAATCAAAACCTTGTTGTGGGCCTCCAGTCCAACATGCTCAGAGAAGGTTACCCATACAAAGATCATCGCAATCATCATCTAAGCCTTATCCCAACCATATGGGATCGGCTAAATGAATCCTTTGACATGTCATATCCATACAAAGATGTGGTTCACTATTTCATATATCAGGGATAACCATCTATCAAGTGTGGCATAGCCCAAAATGATCAACTGACCACTTTACTTCCTTGGTCCATACTGAGTTATTGATCTAATTATCACCTATTAGGAAACATCTGGCTTTTGACAATACCTCTTTTTTTTTGTTATACTAAATCCATTTCCAGGTGTGTATGTATATATATATATATATATATATATATTGATTTAATTATCACCTATTAGGAAACATCTGCTTTTGACAATACCTCTTTTTTTTTTCGTTATAACACATCCATTTCCAGGTATGTATATATATAAAACTCAGCCTTAATCATAACTATTTTGGGGTTATCATCATCTAAGCCTTATCCCAACCATATGGGGTCGGCTATATGAATCCTTTGACATGTCATATCCATACAAAGATGTGGTTCACTAATTCATATATCAGGGATAACCATCTATCAGGTGTGGCATAGCCCAAAATGGTCAACTGACCACTTTACTTCCTTAATCCATACTGAGTTATTGATCTAATTATCACCTATTACAATACCTCTTTTTTTCATTATACCACATCCATTTCCAGGTGTATATATATATCAGCCTTAATCATAACTATTTTGGGGTTACCTACAGGAATGCAGTCCTGACAAATGGAACCTATAGAACAACAGGATATAAAGTCTCCCATCACTACGTTATCCATTAAAAAAGAACAGAAACCTCTCTTTCTTTCTGGTTCAATTAGCATACCAGGAAAGTGTTGAAGATCTGGATCCCCTATCAAGAAATCAAATTGGTCTCTTTTCAGTAAACCATCATTGTTGTCCTCCTCCAGCATTATAAATTCAGGGGCATGAATAAATGGAGGATCATTTATAGGTTCCACAGAAACTACAACCTGGGCATCATTTGCTCCATTTTTGTTCATGCTGGAGACATGGATAGCATCTTCTCCAAAGAAGTTCTCATTTCTGCTACAAAGAAATCAAAAGGTTAAACAAAAATAGAAGGAGCATAGTCATTGCAAACATGATTTGGGAAAGATAGATCTAAAGAGGCTTAATAGGACAAGTCAATTGTCCAAGACAAGAATAACAAAAACCCCATAAAACTAGGATTAGTGTTCAATTTAGACAAAGACAATGTAGCGCACTGCATAATACCCAAGATATTGGATTGACTGAAGGGCATGATTAATTACTTCAACAACACCTACTAATGTCAAACCCTTCCCTTCTTTTCCACCTTTGTTAACAGAAAGTCCACTCCATGCTAAATCCTGAAACTGCATTAGCATAGGAGAAAGAAAGATAGTGCCAGATTGTGAACTGAGAGTGACAGAAATATTCTCCATCAGATCTGAATACGCTATCTCAAATCCAGGGAATCCTCTGAAAAAGGTCAGGATATGTTTCAGTACCAAAATGAGTATTTAAATAACTAGTACAAAATCTTACCACATTACATGACACATACTATTATTTTTGTTGCATATGATTAGGAACCAAAAAATGATTATTGAGTTAAGATGTAATATTAAACAGTCTCCCACACATACCATATAGCAGGGGGGGGGGAGAGAGAGAGAGGGAGGGAGGGAGAGGGATGATATAATTGTAAAACACAGGTTTACGTTGAATTCACGATCCTAATAATAGATCCACATCATAGAGAAAAACCTGCACCCATGCCTTGCTTCCTAAATTTAAATTGATTTTAGAATGGGTAGAACCTTACCCAAATCTGGGACTTATCATGTCTTCAGTTGCTTTCAATTGAATAGGTGATGAAACAAACTGTGGTGGGATGCCGAGGACAGAAATAATTACCATGGCAGAAACAATGTTACCATTTATATCAGATATTGTGTAGGTAAAGGAGTCATTCCCAAAATAACCCTTATGAGGGGTGTATCTAAATAGCCGTCCATACTTCAAAAGTGATCCATGGCGTGGCTGCCAAGATAAAATAACAAAACATTATGATCTTTGAAGAAACCCTATAATACAGACAATGCAGTGGTAAAGGTTTAAATTTGCATCTGAAAATTGACCAAAAAGAGTGAGGAAATGTAACATAATGATTTTATATCTTTAATCTAGAAATTTTCTTCAGGAAAATGGGTATCCATCATTGATTTAAGAAATAATCGTAATTTTCTACATGGCTCCACCAAGCCCAGAAACATGGTCAGATCACTTGATTTAAGTTTTAGCAATAGTCTTCTGAAACTTCGAATCCTACCATTGATGATTCAACAATACTCGCATTGTCACCAGCAAAATAATCATTCTCCAGCACATCAAAAGCAATTGACTCATCCTCCCAGACAGATAGGGTATCATTGTAAACTCTTGGAAAATATTCACCTTCAAGACATTTAGAAAAACAATCAATCTTTGGGTAGAATAGGGGGAAAGGATAAAGTTATAGGTATTAATACCTTGTACAGGAAACTGAAGATTACACTGTAGTTCATGATGAGAGGGATTTTCTACAACAATCATGTATGGAAGAGATTAATGTGTAGAGAAGAGAAGGGGTAGTTTTGTACTTTTACCTTCTTTGTATATACATTATCAGGTGTGTATATTAGTGTACAGCCTTGTTCTTTTATTTCTTTTGTAAGGACAATCTTGTCTGTTCATCCTTTAATATAAATATATCTTTTATGGATTGGATCGAGTTTTAGATCAACCCTAACAGCCTTGGAGTTTTCTTGCTTGTCTCTTGTTTGTCTCTCTCTCTTGTTTTCAATACAATTAGATTGATTGCCCTTTCTTTACACTGGTGATGGGTCTGGACTGTTTTGATCAATTTGAGAACCAGTTTTCTCTATTCTACGCAACCAGCAAGAGAAATCATATTAGATCTCTCTTGAAAGACATGGGTTTGTGATTAAACTTCAAAAGAAGTGTTGCCTGGCCCTATTCTTCATATTCTGAAAGTTTCATCAGCTTCAGACAAGTGCTGAAGGAGTTCTATTCATCTCATTTGAGCAGCAGCAGGCCTACTTTCCTTTTCTGGACTGTGATTTCAGATCTCAGTCTCTTTGTCTTTTGGACATCTTCCTTCGTCTGCAAGAGGTTTTAACCCTCCTCTTTCAACTTTTTTGAATTGGTTCTTGTGATTGTACTGCTTGTTTCTGCTGTTTCTTCTATATTATGTTCACAATGGGACTCAAGAAGAGTGAAAAAATCTCGGTAAAATTCGATGGAAGCAACTATGCACTTTGGAAGTTTACTTCCAATATTTTGTTCAAGGAAAAGGATTGTGGAGCTATATTGATGGTCCTACAGCCATGCCCAATGCTAGTGATGTCAAGGGCCCAAAACAATAGAAAACAAAGAATGCACAAGTTGTGTCTTGGATCCTTGGATCTGTTACTGTGGATGTTGCTATCCCGATGAGGGGGCTCAAAACTGTACATGACATGTTTGAATACCTTGAAAAGGTGTATCAGCAATCAAACATGTCTGGGCAATATCATATTGAGTTCGATATATTTTCTTATGCTCAGTGAGAGAAATGGATTCAGGAGTACTATGCTGGTTTCATGAATCTATGGACTGAATATGAATTGGTTCACCTTGGAGATTTATCTATAGATTTCTGTATAAAGTCTATGAATTAACACTTTGATAAGGGGAAAGTTATGCATTTTTATGCACCTCAGATCTGATTACGAGACAGTACGGTCAAACATACTCAGTAGAGAGACTGTACCTGACCTAGGTATGATCCTTGGAGAATTATTAAGAGAGGAAACTCGGTTTCTTACTCAATCCTTTCTTGATTAGAAGAAAGAACATGGAATAGATGCAGTATTTTTGGCTACCAAACAAAAAGGGAAGGAGTTTTCGAAGATTCAGTACTATGAGTGCAAGAAATTTGGGAATGTAACATCTTACTGCAACAGGAAGAATTTTTGCACTTACTGCAAACAACAAGGACATATTATTGTGGAATGCCTGACTAGGCCCCCTAAGAAAGGACAACATAAGGCTTATCAGGCTTCGGCTGAACTGACTAATACTTCTTCCTCATTATCTCACAAACTGATTCTCAAGGCATTTTGACTAAAGATAAGATTTGTCAATTTATGTCTTCGACTATTTCCTCTACTTTTTCTACTATTGGTCTAGCTGGTAAGCCTACTTGTGTTCTTCCCCATCTCATATGTGGATTATTGACTTTGGAGCCTCAAATCACATGATTGGGGCTTCCTTTGGTCAGTCTCCTAATCCTTACACCTCTGAAAATCACATTGTCACAGCAAATGGTGAACCTCTTCCTATATGTGGTTGTGATGACCTATTTCTGCCCACTTCTCAGCCTACACCCTTACATCTTCCCAAAACATTTTTTGTGCCTAAGCTAACTACTAATCTAATTTTGTTGGAAAACTAGTTGATAATGGCAATAATGTCTTGTTTTCTCGTGATGGTTGTTTTATCCAGGACCAATGCACTAGGGAGCTAAAGGGGAAGGGGTGTAGGTTTAGGAGGTTGTTTGCTTTGGAACTTGAGGATAAGAGACCTTCATCAGATTCTTGTTTTTTATCTACCACTTCTAGTCTATATACTTCTTTTTGTAATAATGTATGGCATGCTTATGGCATAGATGTTGGGCCACACTCATTCTAAAAGCTTGGATTATTTGTTTTCTTCTAGTTGTTTACCTACAACTGTTTCTTCATTTAAGAATGTTGATAAATTTTGCTTGACTTGTTGCTATAGTAAAAGTCATGTTTTGCCTTTTCCATCTTCTACTGAGCATGCCTCTACACCTTTTTACCTTATTCATAGTGATGATCCAATTTAAGAATTTTCCATCTTCTACTAAGCATGCCTCTACTGAGCATGCCTTTTCCATCTTCATTTAAGAATTTTCATGCCATGGTTATGACCCAATTTAAGAGTACTATAAGCATCTTAAGGTCTGATTCAAGGGGAGAGTACTTTAATGGTGAGGATGGTGAGTTCCAATCTTATCTCAAGCAATATGGTATTTGGTCCTAGATGTCTTGTCCAGGTGCACCTCAACAAAATAGGGTATCTGAGCACAAGAACCATCATATTGCCACTAAGGTGAGATCACTCTTACAAGACTCCCATGTTCCCATTAACTTCTAGGTGGAGGTGACCAACACTATTGTATACCTTATTAATATCCTTCCCTCCTCTATTCTTGGAAACTCTTCTCCATTTCAGTCATTGTTTCATCGCCCACCTGACCTGTCCATGCTTCATGTCTTTGGTTGTGTCTACTTTGTCCATCTCCCTCCTCATGAATGCACAAAGCTAATTGCTCAATTAGATATGTATACATTCATGGGATATAGTATGGAACACAAGGGATCCTCCTCCTCTTTGTCCATCTCCCTCCGTCAGCTGCACATATCCCATAATGTCATATTTCTTGAGAATCTTTCCTTCTTTGAGTACATTATTAAATTGCATGCACCATCCTTTTCTCTTCTACATCTTTTTGTTTCTATAAGTGATCCTCCTCCTCTTAGTCCTCAATAGCTACAGGTCTATTCCAGGAAGCATCTAGTTCACTCAACGTTTATGCCTCCACCTCCAGCACTAGCGACTGATCATCCTTCTCCACTCACTACTATTGCAAGTCCCTCCTCTCATCCTGTTACCTTGCCTTCATCTATTCCTTTATGTCAATCTTCATGCATTTCTCGTCCTCTTGACTGCTATGGTTTCTTCTCTAGCCATTTCTCCTTTTCTGTGGTTTTGTCCTCTATAGACATCCCTAGGTCCTACACTAAGTCGTAGTAGTTAATCATTGGAAAGATGCCATGTATTCAAAAATCCACGCCCCATTATAGAATGATACCTAGGAACTTGTTTCCCCTCCTCTAGATGCCTCCATCATTGGTAGTTGTTGGGTCTATTCAGTTAAACTCAAATCAAATGGTATCCTAGACAGGTATAAGCCCTCTTGGTTGCTCAAGGTTATAGACATCCCTAGGTCCTACACTAGATTTGTTTTCACTATTGTCTCCCATATCTGAATTTTTTTTTCTTTCTAATTCACTTTTCACCACACTACACACTAGTAAAACCACCTACAGTCACAATTTCAGCAATACCTATCACTGATTTCTTCACTCTCTACACCACAAAGCTACCATACAACTACCTGAATACACACCATAACACTAGCAATTCACCAACCACTCGATCCACACTGAAATACCCACATAACCCACCTGTTTAATCACCAAAAAAAAACCAACCTGCACTCGACTGTCCACTGCCCCACCTGAAACAGCCCTCTTATCACCATCGATTAGGGGGGGCTTCCTACAAACCACTGCAAACACCCACCAACCTACTAACTGAAGGCATGAAAACCTCCAAGAGGAAAGGGAGATCACTCCTTTTCAGCCCCTTTCCCTATCTCCAACAGATGATGAAGAAAAATTGAAAAACCCTAGGCTGAATGGCGATAAAAACAGAATTCTGGGCAGATCTGTTGTCATAGTCGCTCTGGTACCATGATAAAGTTCTGATCTGCACTAGAATTCTGTTAGTATTAGTATTAGAGAGATATTAGAAGGGATACTAGAGAGAATAGGAGAAGAAGAAGAGAAGAAGAGAAAAGAGAAGAGAAGGAAAATCTGGTTCGAACTAGAGAGCTTAATCGCCCTCTCTAGTTGGCCAGGTTATATTTATATGTTTCTATTCAATAAACAAAAGACTATTATGTCCTATCTTAAGTATGGGGCACATCACTTAACATAAGCATTACACATCAGCTTTAAACATAAATAGAAAGACTAAATTACCCCTATACAGTTCACACTAACAACTCTAAACACCCTGCCATCACCTCCACCTCTCCATAATCCAAATTTATCCCTGCCACACTGCTCTTTTCAAGGTTGACTCTCAAACTGGACATACTTTCAAACCTTTGCACCAACAACTTTAGATTCCTTAACTTCTCCAGATACCCTCCTTCAGCAAAGACTAAAATATCATATGCAAATTGAAGATGGGTAACTGACATTCCAGACCTGCCTACTTTCCAACCATTTATTAAATTCTCCCTATCAGCTTTTGAGATCATTCTACTTAGCACATCAGCTAACAAGGTGAAAAGGAAGGGCGATAGAGGGTCTCCTTGCCTTAGTCCCCTACATACTGGGAAAAAAATCCTTTAGCACTCCATTAATCCAGATGGAGAAGTGGCTAGAGCTCACACAGCCAAAAATCCACTAACGCCACCTTTCTCCAAAACCACACTTCCTCAAGACTTTTTAAAGGAATTGCCAATCCACCAAATCATAGGCCTTTTCCAAATCAAGCTTACAAACAAAACCCTTCTTTTTGGATCTTCTCATTTC